TGAAGGAGCGTCTCCACCCCCATCGTTCAGCCCGGACACTGAGATCCAGCGCTGAGGGCCTTCTGGCGGTTCCCTCATTGCGAGAAGTGAGGGAACCAGGGAACCAGACAGAGGGCCTTCTCGGTAGTGGCGCCGACTCTGTGGAACACCCTCCCTTCAGATGTGAAGAAAATAAGCAGCTATCCTATCTTTAAAAGACATCTGAAGGCAGCCCTGTTCAGGGAAATTTTTAATGTTTAACGCTGTACTGTTCTTAACACTTGACTGGGAGCCGCCCAGAGTGGCTGGGGAAACTCAGCCAGATGGGTGGGGTATAAATAAATAAATTATTATTATTATTATTATTATTATTATTATTACTACTACTACTACTACTACTACTACTACTATTTTTCTCAGAATATGACCCCCGTAGTCTCATCTGCAGTCTTCCTTGGCTATAATCTGATGAGAAAACAGAACACCCCAAGGTACCCTTTGGTCTTCAGTAGATTCCAACCATGTAACTTAACTACAGAAGCTGACGGTCTTGATGCAAACTCTCTGCTTCTGCAAACTATTTTAGTATGTTAAATTTTTCGGCAATGCATTAGTAAATGATAATTTCAAACATGAAAGCCACAATCAAGCTCAAATATTGCCTTGTGCATGTATTTTATTCGGAAAGCTCTTGTAACTGGCATTGCCCTCAATAATTATTCCTGGAGCACCAAACTCAAGTTTTTATTTATTGCAAAGGAGGTTTTTCAAAGGGCCATGTTGCATCCGCAACAGGACATTGCCTCAATTCAGAGTTTCTTAATCATGCTTTGTTCTTCCTGCTATCCAGGCAAAAAACGGTGTCATGCTGGGTGTTCCAAAATGTCAAACAATTGAATCTGAAATGTCAAATGCTGAACCCAGCCCACCTATTAACCTGACTCACATTTTGACTCAGATTTTTTTCCATAGACCCAGTTTAAAAACTGTACTGATAAAGGCTTGTTTTGGCTAATGCAGTAATTTAGAACCACCAAACAAATGTTGGGTTTTTTGCTACTTACGCTGCTTTGTTCATGTCAAGGTAGCTGAGGTCAGGTTCACACAAAGAAATGACTGCCAATGAACTTCCTTTCCCATGATGACTCTGATTTACAAATGTATGTGGGCATATCTATGGATCAGATGGTTAAAAGGTAAAGGTAAAGGACCCCTGACAGTTAAGTCCAGTTGCAGACGACTCTGGGGTTGTGGCGCTCATCTCGCTTTACAGGCTGAAGGAGCCAGCGTTTGTCCGCAGACAGTTTTTCTGGGTCATGTGGCCAGCATGACTAAGCTGCTTCTGGTGAAACCAGAGCAGTGCACGGAAACGCCGTTTACCTTCCCGCCGGAGCGGTACCTATTTATCTACTTGCACTTTGACGTGCTTTCGAACTGGTAGGTTGGCAGGAGCTGGGACCGAGCAATGGGAGCTCACACCGTCGCAGGGATTCAAACCGCCGACCTTCCGATCGGCAAGCCCAAGGCTCAGTGCTTTACACCACAGCACCACCCACATCCCCACTGGTTCTTACTCCTGTGTAAACTGGCATAAAATCAAGCAGGCTGCACAGATGCCGATGGATACGTATTTCACCCTGTATGATTGCATTATTATTATCTCTCATCTTCCCCCCTCCTAAGAACATTTCAGCCACATCTTTGGAATGTAAGCTGAGCTAATAAAATATATTACATTTCCCATTCTGTATCAAACACCAGCAATGCCAATAACATTCTGTTGTCTCCTGATGGCCCCTGTTGTTCAACCTCATTTAACGTTAATTACTAATGAAAGCCGGCCGTGTTATCAGTACTTCCATTTTTTATTTTCCAGACTCATACAGTAAACAGGTTTTTAACATGATGTGAGACCAACTAATGGAAAAAGAAAAGCAAACTTTAAGGATTTTCCATCTAACATCTGTTTAATCGCAACAGTTCCTAAAGCAATTTTCTAGAGTCTCGTAGCTGTAAACTTTCGAGTATAAGAAATCGTAAGGTTGTTCAAGCAGAGTTTCTTACGAGGAACAAACAAGCATTACTTAAATGGCCTACGTGGTACAATTTCATCCAAAAAGCCTGGTAGGTATTACGATTGCTTTGATTATTGGGAATCGTATAAAATGTTGATTAATATGACACTGGCACTGGGAATATCAAGACAGGAATAATCTTGATTCAGTTAATCAGAACTAGACTCTAGTTACACAACTTCACTTAGGATGTAGTTCTGCTATCTGTTACACTTGTCCACCAAAAACTATTTTTCTAGAAAAAGAGGTACCAGAATTCACTAGGGTTGTTGCCTAAGCCATTGAGGGCACAATCCAATACCATTTAAGTTGGGTTTAAATCAGTAAAATAAATAAAACAAGCATAAAACCTAGAATTAAATTAGGATTGTGCTTCTTGTGCCCTCTTAAATCCCTATATTCCCCTTGTCTACCGGGACTTTCCTACCCATTCAGTTCCTAGATATTTGGCATTACTTTTATGAAACTTTGTTCTTATGTTGTTGTTTAGTCTTTTAGTCGTGTCCAACTCTTTGTGACCCCATGGACCAGAGCACGCCAGGCACTTCTGTCTTCCACTGTCTCTCGCAGTTTGGTCAGACTCATGTTTGTAGCTTCGAGAATACTGTCCAACCATCTCGTCCTCTGCCGTCCCCTTCTCCTTGTGCCCTCAATCTTTCCCAACATCAGGGTCTTTTCCAGGGAGTCTTCTCTTCTCATGAGGTTGCCAAAGTATTGGAGCCTCAGCTTCATGATCTGTCCTTCCAGTGAGCACTCAGGGCTGATTTTCTTCAGAATGGATAGTTTTGATTTTCTTGCAGTCCATGGGACTCTCAAGAGTCTCCTCCAGCACCATAATTCAAAAGCATCAATTCTTTGGCGATCAGCCTTCTTTATGGTCCAGCTCTCACTTCCATACATCACTACTGGGAAAACCATGGCTTTAACTATACGGACCTTTGTTGGCAAGGTGATGTCTCTGCTTTTTAAGATGCTGTCTAGGTTTGCCATTGCCTTTCTCCCAAGGAGCAGGCGTCTTTTAATTTCGTGACTGCTGTCACCATCTGCAGTGATCATTTCCTTGTTCTTATAGGAACAAGGAAAAGAAACATCTTCCTTAGAAACAGAAAACTTGCCTTTACTAAACATAACACAAGCATTCCAAAGTATAACTAAAGTTTTCTGGTTGTTAAAGTAGGCAAATAACACTTCACCATATGGAGCTCAGTTTCTGGTGATAAACCCTGCAAATAGACTCGATTAAAATGTGAGAGTAAAAAAACCTATCCAAATAATTAAATATGCCGTTTTAATTTTTGACTCCTTTTTTGTTGTGTGGCAAGAAAGTAGGTGTTATAAAACCCAAATATGATTAAGCTCTAAGGCAGACGTGGGCATACTTGGCCCTCCAGATGTTTTGAGACTACAACTCCCATAATCCCTGACCACTGGTCCTGCTAGCTAGGGATGATGGGAGTTGTAGTCCCAAAACATCTGAAGGGCCGAGTTTGCCTATGCCTCCTCTAAGGCTTTAAGTATAAAAGTGATTATGTTGGTCATTTACAGACTGGATTCCTGTGGGGTTTGACACAGAAGCTGCCTTGAACACCTCACACCAAGAGACAGACAGCAGCAGTGTGTCTCTGTTGGCTCCTCTGGATTTCTGAGACAAGCAACAGTAATAGTCTTCTGGGTCATCTTCATGGGATGGGGACTGGAGTCTTTGCTTATTCCCGATAGGTACTTGACTCAGAAGTTGATGCTGAGGGACTACTCATCCCCTATGAACTTCCACAAGGTCCCATCTCCTTCCCTGTGGTGCTCAACATTGACATCTGAAATGGACATTTTAGCCTGAGGGACACAGGGGGCACATGTCAGTGGTGGGCAGTGCCAGAGGATGGGCGATGAATGTAAATGTTACCTTTGTACAGTAAGCTAGATTCTACACACACATACCTCTCCATCCTCAAGTCAGGGAAGCATTATCAGAGATTTATCAGGCCCTTTTTACTTATTATATCATGAGTCTAGTAAAAAAGAGCCGTTTCCTTGTTCTTCCCCTGAAGTTCATAGTTTCCTTTTTTAACTGATGTCTCTAGGTAATGTTTATTGGTATTATTGCTGTGTGAATATGATGGGCTTTATTATCATACCCTCCAACATTTCTTCAATGAAAATAGGGATATTATTATTATTATTATTATTATTATTATTATTACACCCTTCTGACAGGATTACCCCAGCCACTCTGGGCAGCTTCCAACATAGATAAAAACATAATAAAACATCAAACACTTAAAAACTTCCCTATACAGGGCTGCCTTCAGATGTCTTCTAAAGGTTGTATAGTTACTTATCCCCCTGGCTTGGGGGTCACATAGCTCCATACTTTCCAACATTTCTCCAATGAAAATAGGGACGTCCTAAGGAAAAGCAGGACATTCCAGGATCAAATCAGAAACTGTGATGGTTTCTAGACTGTCCCTGGAAAATAGGGTCTGCTTTATGATGACTTTATGATCTGTTAGCCACCAGGGATTTCTTCTGAAGTAAGACAGGATATACATTTTCAAAACAAACAAACAAACAAACAAACAAACAAAAGCATTTATCTGAGCAGTGAGGACCCAGGACACATCCTTCTTCCTTTTCTAAACAGAATCTACATTTACTTTATCATTTAACTTTAATTTCGGCATTTGCAGTTTCTCAAGATAAGATTGGGTTACCCAAGCAGCAAGTGGCAAAACTGCTGCAGGTAATTCCCTGCAATAAACTCTGTGCACTCCAGCATACATACCTAATCAGATCCTGTTGACTTATGTTTGCTAGTGGTCTAACTCTCACTGAGTGTGAGTTGATTGCAAGGCTACAGGACTATTATTTAACTGGACCCTTTGTGGTCTTGGAAACAATGGGTGAGATCCAGAGAACTGAGAATGGAGAAATCGTCTGCTTAACATAGCTCCTGGGATAGCTCAGTCAGTAGAGCATGAGACTTTTACTCTCTGGGTTGTGGGTTCAAGCCCCACACTGAACAAAATATTCCTGCATTGCAGGGTATTGGACTAGATTACTCCTATGGTCACTTCCAACTCTGCAGTTCTATGATTCTTCCCCCTGAGAAGCCAGTCCTGAGGTTCAGGGAATTGCATGGAACTCAGACAGGATGCCATAGTTAGGGACAGCCTGAATGGAAAACTCACCCTTTCCATTCAGTCACAAAAATGACTATATTGATCTTAATTAATGGTTTGTTGGTTGATAATCCCGGTGTGATCTTCTGAACTTGCACATTCTCATCAAGGATTCCTTTTAACTCCTGGATTTCAGTGCTGGTGGTAGGAGTTTTTCCCCCAATTGGCAAATTGGCATCAGCCCCTTGGTTTTTTCGCATACCTCGTAGCAACTCGTCACAACTTTCTTGGTATTTGGCGGTTAGGCATTGGAATTGGTTGGTGTATGGAAGGGCAGGGTGTGGCCATCACCTACCCCTTCCTTATGGGTATTCCGTTAAAGGAATCCGGCAGTCATGGATCCTGTCCGATGCCCTGCTGTGGCTGGGGGCCATGGCACGACCCCTGGTGACATCAGGGGAGAGCTTACAGTTGTATTTGCATCAACAGGCTCCCCCTACTGGGGGTTAACCCCTTTTAGACTCGCCCCTCCCTGAGGGGCGGAGTCGAACTTTGAGGTTTTTTCCAGTGCCTATGCCAATACCCCTCACATGCTGTAATCAATAAAGTTGTGGCCTTTTCTAGCCTTTAAATACTGTGTCCGTGTGTCTATCTTATCCCCAAGCGTGAGGGGAGGGTCCTCGAATCACAATCCTGGTGTGATCTTCTGAACTTGCACCACATTCTCATCAAGGATTCCTCTTAACTCCTGGATTTTAGTGCTGGTGGAAGGGGAACTACAATAATTTGCACTGGGATCTGAACGTTCCCAGAGAAATTATGTCTTCCGCTTCAGTCACAGCTGATCACATCCCTGTCAGTGGGGGATTTTCAGTGGAAGAATTTGTAGGTCATTTGACTGTAAAAAAAGAGGGCAGGCTGTCTCAAAAGTACCAGGAAGCTCATAATCTACTACCAGAGAGCCTGCTGGTCCATTTGCTTTGGACTGATTTAATAAAAGTGGATTCATAGACCAGTTGTCTGGTCATGGTAACCCATCCATCTCTTGGGATAAGAATATTAGTGGCGGTATGTTATTCTTTGAGATAATTACATGATTTTGTTTCTTCTGTTCAGACTTTTTCGATGTTTCGTAGGCGGCTTGGGTACAGCCAATTTTAAAGGGTGAGAATCCAATAAAAATAAGCCGAGCTTTCAACTGGAGTTGGAATTACGCAACCTGCTTCCTTTTAAGAGCTTGCTGTGCTGTGCCCCTGGATGTTTCCGATGTTCTTCAAATCCCTGGAAAATCATTTCTGCTTCACTTATCCTAAGCAGTGAGCAAGCAGATATTTCTTTGGGGGAAGGTTAGAGATACTGCCAGTTTAATTTTTGAAGCACCGGCGGCTAAAGTGCTGCATTTTTAAGCACCCTCTCCCCCCCCCCCCCAGCAGTGTGCTTATCTCGCTTCCCTTTATCTATCAAGGTATTGATATATCTGCTTTTCTATTGACTCCCAGGCTCTCTTTGCCTTCCTTTTACACCAGCCTCTCTCTAACTCTGCCTTTCAGGCTTAATCCATTTTGTAAGCCTCTCTACAACATGTCTGCACTTTTAATCATTTTCTTAAATGGGCTTGAACGCGTCGCTATAATGAGAACACAAAAGTAAGTGCTTGCTCTTAGTTTTGCCTTGACTCTATTTCTTTTTGCCTTCTCACTTCCGCTGCGACTCCGCGGATCAATTTAATGTTTTCGTGAAAGCTTCCACCTGGAACTCTTGACTTTTGTTTGAGCAAAACCTTTGCTTCGTTACAATACAGTCACCCAAACTGTATGGTTGATTGCCCGATTTTAACTTCTCCTACTCCATCATAAAATTCAGGCGAATGGATAAAAACAGATGATGCACATTTATTGCTGAAATACCCAGTTTAATAAAATGACATATGCCCGTCATTGAAATTATATCAAAGTTGGTGCCAGGTTAAAGCTGCTATACGTCCAGATTTTCCTGGACATTACTGGGATTTCAAAGGCAGAATTGATGTCCAAAGGGAATTCTCAAAAGGCGGAGCTTTGTCCTGGATCTTTGGCAAGTCAATCGGAAAATTGTGTTTTCTTGGCATTTTGGGGGGCAACCTTATGTCAGGTGAACCTCACTAGGAAGAGAGTGCTGGTGTTATTTAAGCCTACTTTTATGGGGCTGCAATGAGACATTTTCCCGATAATGTTCAGTTCTTCACATTTCTACATACATTTGCAATTCTTTTTCAAAGTCCTCATGAAAATCCATCACTTTAGTGCAAACTTATTCCAATAAAGTGGTACCTTGGTTTACAACCATAATCCTTTCCGAAGGTCTGGTTGTAAACCAAAACAGGTTGTAACCCAAGGTGCGCTTTCGCCAATGGGACCCCCCCCCAATTGGTTGTAACCCCCCCCCCGAAAAAAATGGGTTGTAATCCAAAAAAATGGACACGCACTTTCGGGTTTGACGTGGTTGTAATCCAAAGCGGTTTCAAACCAAGGTACTACTGTATACACATTTTGCTATGCCTTTGCAAAGCTTACACATTTTTAAAAGCAGTGTCCCTCTATAAAATGCATTTTGTTAGTTTTTTCCACTAATAGATGCATTTTAGGCACAATTTACCTCTGCATATGCATTGCTGTGCACATTTATTTGCCTGGAGAACTGCATTGCAAAATTCAGAGAAGCGTGGCTCTGTTTCGTTTCATGTATTGTTATGGGAGGTACAATTTAGGTATATTCCCCTTTAAATGTGAACTGGATCTCATTTCTCCCACATGGCTACTTGAGGATCAAGCTAGAGACTTCCTATGGCTCCCGGAAACACAAAGAAGGGCATAAAATGGTATTCAAACAAGGAGCCATAATAAAAACACAAGGCTGCTTCTTCACTGCCATCGTTTCCTCATCAATATATTATCAAAACACAAAACTTAAAACAAAGAAAGTGTTTTGCGAGGAGTATATCTGTCTCAGAGAGGGGAAGGCACAGACAGATCTTAAATCTTGATGGATCTTTACCCATCAGCAATTTCAAATAAGGCACAAGGAAATATAATCACTTCAGCTGAACCACCAGGCACAGAGGAGTTGTGTGTCATCCTGACAGTTGTGCTTTGAAGCACATTTTCCAAAAGGAAATACAACTTGAGACTGATATTGCCGCAGAGTAAACCTAGCAATGCTCGCAAAGCTGGCCAAAGCTAATGGACTCATCTCTTAATAGCTCGCACCCAGCTGGAGGAAATGGGCCTTTCCTTTCTGAAGGAAGGGGAAAGCCATCTGAGGTCAGTTGGAGCTGATGGGGATCGGCTTTCAGTTGCAGCAAGCTGCCTAAATACTGGGGACGCAGGTGGTGCTGCTGCTGCAGAACACTGTCAAGGGAAGAGGATGACTGGGCTTTGCCAGATTTTATTACAGGCCTTCTGTCCCTTTAAGAGCTTGAAACAAGTGCACTATTCCCCTGTCATCATAAGGCAGCGTTGGGAGAAGCTACACTTGGGAGATGCTTGCTTTTCTCACAGTGTTTGTATCGCCTATCCCAGATGGAACACGACAAGTCCATAAGCTGTTTATATTTTTAAAATAATATTAAAGAATCTGCAGATTTAACCGTTTGCTTGGATAATGGTACACCCCCAAGTGTTTATCAGGAATGCTGGAACTTCCGGTTTGCATTTTGTGAAAAAATTAAATAAGTAAATAAAAAATATATTACTCACACAGGCACATTGAGTCCTGCGTTGGAGAGAACACCACAAGCCTAATTGGGTCAGTTCTGTTGAATTCAGGGGAGGTTACTCGCAGGTAAGTTGAATTAGGGTTGCAGCAGGGCAATTTTGTTAGCACATAAGTAGCGCTGGTTCTGTGAATGCCTCCTCAATAGCAAAACAGACCAAGCTCAAGGAAGGGCTCTGTGCTCCAGCGTATGTGTTGCATTGTGTGGCGAGTTCCCACCTCCCCCCAGTGGAAATAGAGACACATGACACATGACACATGACACACCAGAGTTTAAGGTTAATGGGCTAAATGTGGCCACAACTTTATTGTTACAGGTGATGAGTGGTATTGGCTTAGGCATTGGTCCTAACCGACTATCCGGCTTCAGCCTGTTCGCTTGAAGACCGGGAAGGGTTAACCACCAGTAGGGGGAGTCCTGCTGATGCACATCAATTAGGAACTCCCCCCGGGTCACCGCTCGGGGGTGTGCCTTAGGCCCTAACCACCCTTGGCTTCAGACAGGGCCACGCCCCCCGGAATCCTTTATCGGACTACCCTTCAATATGCGGGGGAGGTGATGTGCTTCCTCCCCCCCTCCAGCTACATAACAATACCAATACCAATGCCTAACCGCCAATACCAAGGAAGTTGTGGCAATTTGCTATGAGGTAGGTGAAAAACCAAGTGGCTGGTGCCAATTTGCCAAGTGGAAAAAAATTCCTACCAGGCACCTTAACGGTGACCAACCAAGGTCCATAGCAAGGTCAAAGACGAAAACCTTAAACGGCGGGAGGGTGGGAAACTGGAGCAGCTGGAAGCGGCAAAGAGGGAGATCCCTGGCCGCCCCTGTATTAAATGGAGCAGGCCACGCCCCCCAGGCCAGCCGATTGGCTGGCCAGGGGATGACCCGATCGGGGATTCCCTCAATCACACAGAGGCTGAGAGCCAGCCCCCGCACGCATGGTGGGAGGGTGAAGCCCACAACCCCACCACCTTTCTACGTGGGAAGTGGCTTTGCAAAATATCCTGGCTCCAAACAGGGTTGGAAAAGATGTCTGAGTGAAACCTTGCAGAATTTCCGTCACTGTGTGTAGTCAAAGCTGAGTGTGATGGAGCAACAGTTTCACTGCATTTGAGGCAGTTCCGTGTTTTCCGATCGAATTTACTTCCA